CATCTCATTTGGGGTCTTCCTCTTTTTCACTGACCCTCTACTTTACTAGACATGATATCTGTCCTTCTTCAGGGACTGGTTCCTCCTGATAATTATCCAATGTGGTGGAGTAGTGCCTAAGGCACTTGACTGCTAACCAAAAGGCTGGCAGTTCAAACCCATCAGCCACTCTGTGGAAGGAAGCCTGGGCAATCTACTTCTGTAAAGATTTACCACCTCAGAAACCTGAAGGGGGTTTCTATGAGTGCAAATTGACTCGGTGGCAGTGAGTTAGGTTTGGTTTTGGTGTGTAAGACAAAGTCTCGTCATCCTCGCCTCTGAGTAGCATCTGGCTGTACATCTTCCAGGACAGATTTGTTTGTTCTTCTGGCAGTCCATGTATATCTAGTATTCTTCACCACCATCATTCAAATGCATCAAGTCTTCCGTCTTCCTGACTCATTGTCCAGCTTTACATGCAAATGAGACAATTGAAAATATCATGGTTTGAGTCAGGTGCACCTTAGTTTTCAAAGTTTACACTTTAAAAATGTCTTTTGCGGCAGATTTGCCCATTGTAATACATCATTTGATTTCTTGGCTGCTGTTTGCACGGGCATTGATTGTGGATCCAAGTAAAATGAAATCCTTGACAATCTGAGTATTTTCTCTGTTTATCGTGATGAAGCTTATTAGTCCCGTTGGGATTTTTTTTTTCTCTCTCTTTTTTCCATTGTGAGGATTTTTGTTGTCTTTATGGTGAGGTGTAACCCATATTTTGATCTTCTTTAGTAAGTGCCTAAAGTCCTCTTCACTTTCAGCAAGTGAAAAATGATATATCGCTTTGGGTAAATCTGCTGCGAAAGACCTCTTTAAAATGTTAAAAAGCCAAGATGTCCCTTTGAGGACAAGTGTGCCTAATCCAAGCCATGGTATTTTTAATGACCTCATAGGCATGGGAAAGCTGGAGAATGAATAAGGAGTACAGAAGAAGAATTGACGCTTTTGAATTATGGTGTTGGTGAAGAATATAGAATACGCTGTGGACTGCCAGATGAATGAGCAAATCTGTCTTGGAAGAGTGTAGCCAGAATTTTCCTTAGAAGTGAGGATGGCAAGACTTCATCTTACATACTTGAGGCAGGAGGGAGAGACCCTAGAGAAGGACATTGTGCTCGAGGCGACCCTCACGGAGACGGAGTGACTACACAGTGGCTGCGTAATGGGCTCAAACAGAGCAATGATTGTGAGGCTGACACAGGACTGGGCAGGGTTTCACTCTGTTGTCCACAGGGTCACTGTGAGTCAGAGCCAATATCTAAAATGTCCATCTCCCAAATCAAGTATTAGCTCCCTGAGGGTAGGGCCCTGTCTGTTGCTCATGGCTCTTTCTCTAGTGCATGGAACACCCAAGTGTTCACCAAACATTTGCTCCGTGCCTGGACTTCCATTCTCTCCGGCATGTCTGGCTTCTACTTTGCCAAACACAGAGTAGGGATTGTGGAATTGACAAGAACTGAGATCAGACCTCTGCTTCGGGTGAACTGTGGCAGATGGCCTGCCCAGATGCCACAGTCGCCGCCGCCCCCCCCCCCCCCCCGTGCCCAAGCATCTAGGGTTTTCCATGTCAGTGGAGACTCTGGGTGGGCGACCGGTTCCAGCCTGGGGACAGGTTCCTGGTTCCTTGCCACTTTTTCTAACTGGGGGCGAGTGAAGTTGGTTTGGAAAAAAATGTTGAAGTCAAAAACAGTGCAGTGATTCAGTCTTGCTTTCTGCCATTTGAAAGGAATGAAAGTGGGATTAACCAAAAAAAAAAAAAAAAATCAAAACCAAAGCCAAAATACAAAACAAAACAAAAAAGACAAAAAAACACCACCCCACTGTCTTAGAATCTGCCTCAGAAACAGTTATCTTATTGTTTTCTGTATCATAATAAAATCAAGAGCCCACAAGGGGTTTGCGCTGTACTTGGATTCACTCCGTTGGCAGAGGCTGGTTTCTGGGTAATGATTTTACAGCTACAAAGTTGCACTCCCCATTTCTAGAGCACCTATTGTGTATGTCTGGAGGGGGTATGGATGGAGGGGGGAAGGGTGTTCAGGTGCATGGAGGGAAGGGGCTGAACATACAGTTGAGTGGGCAAAGGGTTAAATCAGCACCAATGCATGAAATTTTCAAAGCACCATGGATCTTGTCCTTCCCCTGTTAAAACCCTCCAGGCCTTAGAATACAATGTTAAGCACCTGTCATGGATTGAATTGCCCCCCCCCCCCAAATATGTGTCAACTTGGCTAGACCATGCTTCTCAATATTGTGTGGTTTTCCTCATGTTGTGACCTGGTGTAAGTATCCTCTATTTTGTGATGTGTTGTAAATCTTAACCTTTATATGTTAATGGAGCAGCATTAGGGTGAGTTGTATCTTGAGTTACAGCCTTATCACAAATATAGTAGCTTAAAGCAACACATATGTATTCTCTATCTCACAAGAGATGAAAGGGAAGAGAAATAAGCAGTGAGGAGGGACCTCACTGCTACCAAGAGAGAAGAGTGGGAGCAGAGCATGCCCTTCGGACCTGTGGTCCCTGTGCTGGGAACCTCCTAGACCCAGGGGAACGAATGCCAACACACACAGAGGTCTGTAAGGAACCAGAAGCCGAATCTGAAGAGAAGAGGACTTCCCCCAGCTGATGGAGGAAGCCTTCCCCAGAGCTGGCGCCCTGAATTCGGACTTCTAGTCTCCTAAACTGTGAGAAAATAAATTTTTGTTTGTTAAAGCCACCCACTTGTGGTATTTCTGTTATAGTAGCATGAGAGAACTAAGACTACCCTGTCTAGCACTGTGTTGTTGTTAGATGCAATCTAGTGACCCCATGTGCCAGACTAGAAACCATAGGGTTTCCTAGGCTGTAACCTTTAAGGGAGCAGATCATCAGGTCTTTTCATCCAATTGCCACTGGTGGATTGGAACCACCAACCTTTGGTTAGCAGCCAAGGGGTTAACCATTGAGTCACTAGCACTAGGGCTCCTTTTCCAGCATTATAGGGACTGAACAATGGCCACCCAAAGATATCAGATCCTAATGCCTATAATCTGTCAATTTTACCTCATAAGGAAAAGGGGTCCAGATATGCTTAAATTAAGGATTTTGCCATAGGAAGACTATCTTGTGTTACCTAAAAAAAACCCAAAAAAACAAAAAACAAACTCACTGCCGCCGAGTCGATTTCTACTCATAGGGACCCCTCTCTCTGGGTTTCCAAAGCAGTATCTGTATGGAAATAGATTGCCCCATCTTCCTTCTGAGGAATGGCTGGCAGGTTACCTAAGTGGGCCCTAAATCCAAATGCAAGTGTTTTTATAACAGAGGCAGAGGGAGATTTGATACACAGAAAAGCAGACGATGTGACCATAAAGGAAGAGATTGGAGTGATGCGGCCACCAGGCAATTTGTGCCGGTAGCCACCAGAAGCAGGAAGAAGCAAGAAACAGACTCTCTCCTGGAGCCTGTGGAGGGAGCATGACCCTGCTGAGAGTGTGGTTTCCTCTCAGTGAAATAGATGTTGGATTTCTGGCTCTGGTGGCATAGTGCCTAAGACACTTGACTGCTAAGCAGAAGGCTGGCGGTTCAAACCCACCAGCCACTCCTTGGAAGGAAGATTGGGCAATCTACTTCCATAGTGATATTGCCTCAGAAACCCAAGGAAGGGTCACTATGAGTCGGATCCAATTCAACGGCAGTGAGTAGTTTTTGTTAACTGTCATCCCCACTGGAAAGTGGGATTCGAAAGGCCTTTCTGGCTTGTACTCTGCTGTACCTACAGGGCCCAGATAAGCCCTGATATAGGTGGTCAGCAAACATTGGCTGATGAATAAACAAATTATCTGTGCAAGGCAAGGTGCTGTGAGCAATGGTCAGCGTGTGTGTCCCTCCATGCACGTGAGTTTTAGGGTACAGGTGGAAAAATGAAGCCCCAACATCATCTCCCACTCCCTTGTGAGTGTCCCCCACTACCGGGTGCCAGGGCCGGTCTTGGGAACTGTCCGTGCACTATCTCATGCGTTCCTCCCAACCGCTCTGGGGCACAGTGCCAAAGGCACTGGACTATTAACCAGAAGGTTGGTGGTTAAAATCCAACAGATGCTCCACGGAAGGAAGAAAGGGCAAATCTACTTCCGTAAAGTTCTCTTGTTGTTGTTATGTGCCTTGATAGCGACCCCTCCTTGGGTTTCCAAGGCGGTATCACTACGTAAGTAGATTGCCCATCCTGCCTTCGGAGGAGTGGCTGGTGGGTTTGAACCGTCAGCCTTCTGGTTAGCGGTCAGATGCCTTAGGCGCTACACTACCAGAGCTCCATAAAGTTTACCGCCTTGGAAACCCAATGGAGGTCGCCATGAGTTGGAAAAGGCTAGATGGCAGTGGGTTTTGTTTTGGGTAACAGCTCTGTGAGGTGAGGTTCCTTCATAAGCCTATTTTACAGACGAGGAAACCGAGGCTCTCCCTCTTCTAAGTGACTGCTCTGTATGTTCGGAAGCAAAAACCACGTTAAGCCACAAAAGGACCGGCCCCTCTGCGCACTCCCAGTTATGCACGCTCCCTCTACCCGGTGCTCCGCCTCGCAGGGGGCTCTGTATGAACAGCTGGACAGGGATGCTGATCCCATTGTACAGAGAGTCCCGCAGAGGCGCAGGGGTTTGTCCAAGGGACCTCTGCTGGCAGCTGTTAGCTCCAGTCCATCCGCGGGACAGCTAGGCTGCGGGCCAGGAGCACGTAGGGCAGCGGTCAAGGGCGCAGCAAGTGCAGGGAAATCCCCAGGTGGCAGCTTTCCCCAGAGGAGACACGCGTGGCTCTTTCGAAGGAGACCCTGGCCTCAGTTTGTCCTTTTGTGATGTGATTGTGGCTGCGCATGAATGCGTCAAGGTCGGCGGCGAGCTAAGGGTTAAAGGGGCGGGTCTTGCGGAGGGGCGGGGCCGGGGCTTCGGGCCGCACCTGGCGACTGTCCCCTTCGGGTCTCGACGTCGCGCGTAGAGCCTGGAGCTGCGGCGGGAGCGGGAGTCCCCGGGGAGGAGCGGCTCGGAGCCGGCACCCACCGCGGGACGGGCGGTGGCTGAAGCAGCCTCGCAAGGCCAGCAGAGCCGCCATGGCCGAGTTCCCGTCAAAAGTGAGCACGCGGACAAGCAGCCCGGCGCAGGGGGCCGGCGCCTCCGCCTCGGCGCTGCGTCCGGACCTGGGCTTCGTGCGCTCCAACATCGGTGCTCTCATGCTGCTGCAGCTGGTGAGGGCGCGCGCCGGGCCGCGGGCCGGGGTGGGGGTTGCGTCCGGGCTAAGACAGGGTTGGGAGTCTGGGGGCTCCGGGGCTGCGCGCCTTGTCGCGGCTCACACGCGCCACGACGTGCCGTAACTCCCAGGCACCCTCTCAGCCGGAGATGCTCTAGTGCAATCCTTGCGAACACGCACCGTGCCCCACGGACACAGTGCCTGCTTTCCAACGCCCCATCATTGTCCCCATCCACCACCACCAGCGTGGGCACGAGGGCCCCCAGTACAGTCACTGCGCACAACGCGCGCACACTCTGCCAGGAAAATGCCCTTCACCTACCTCTCTGGGAGTCCCGGCTCCAGGCAAAGTCCGCTCTCGCACCACCTTCGGCTGTACTCCTAGCGGTTCCACATGGCTGCCCTGAAAGACACTCCCCAGAACACTTCCCGCTTAATCGAGGGGGTACATCCGTTCCCACAACACATACACAGGCACGGCCCTGTGGGTGCCTGTCTGGGAGCCAGGTCGTTCAGGCTCTCACTAGGTGACCGCGGGTTTCAGCTGGTTGGGCCGGCCCCGCTCGGCGGAGATAACACACTCGGGGCGGGGCTGGAGGCAGGTTTGTGTGAAGCCAGAGCACGACTCCTGCCCCTCCTAGGGAATCTATGCAGACCCCAAAAGAGGCCAACAGATGGGGACGCTCCCTCCACCCTGCCCACTAGTTTCACGCCGGGGGTTGTTCGCCTTTTCCCCACCGCCCCATATGTGTGTGGGCTCACGAAGCTGGATGGTTGCCCCAGTGGGAGGCATCTGCAGCGGCTGAGGGTCTGGTCCATGTCAGTGGACGGGGGTGCAGTTAAGGAGCACTCTGGCATAGTGGTTAAAGCAATCAACCCAAAGGTCAGAGGTTGGAACCACCATTTGCCCCAGCAGAAGATGTGGCAGTCTGCTTCCATAAGGATTTACAGCCTAGGAAGCCCTGTGGGGCGGTTCTGCTCTGCCCTGTGGGGTCACTAGGTGTCCAGTAGACTGTGGCAGTGAGTTGGGTTTTGGTTAGGGAGCAGTTGGAGGTGGACTAGATCCAGCTTCCTTTACAATCCACCAGAAGGACCTTTCCTGCTGTCCTTTGCTGCTGGCCCTTCCATCAAGGCTGCCAACCTCTGGCAGGAAAGGGTGGTGCCAAACGCTGGGCTGAAGCTTGCTGGGATCTACCGTACCTCCCAGGTGGATGCCCACCTTCCACTGGTTCTGTGATCTCCAAATCAAAACCAAACTCACTGCCATCCAATGGATTCGGAATAGGCGACCTTGTAGACAGAACAGAGCTGCCCCATAGTGTTTCCAAGGCAGTAAATCTTTACGGAAGCAGACTGCCTTATCTTTCTCTCTCAGAGTGGCTGGTGAGTTCAAAATGACAACGTTTTGGTTAGTAGCTGAGTGCTTTAACCACCGCACCACCAGGCTGTCTCAAATCTCTGTGGCCCTCTCCCCTACTCCATCCATCCACAGAATCTCCCTGAGGGGTTTGTTTAAAATGTAGATCCTTTATCCCACCTCTGGAAAAAATGTGCAATTGGCTACCCAGAACTCACATAGTAAATTCCTCTCCCAGAGTGTTTTGTTGTTGCTGTTGAGATTCTCTGCCCTGGAGTGGGGAGAGAGGCCTAGTTCTGGGCTAATGTAAAACTGCTGGTAGGTAGAGCCACTGACTGATCTCATTGTGTGCTAGGCTCTGGGCTGGTCTGTGGGGAGCAGTGCCAGGTGCTGCCTTCCAGAGCCCTGGTGGGAGGGGAGAGCCCCATGTAAATGGGCAGAGGAAGAGAGAAATTGAGTCCAGGAAGGCTTCTTGGAGGAGGTGGCACTTCAATGATAATGAAATCTGGGCAGAGGTGGGGAAGGGGCACCCCGAGAGTGGGACACAGTGTGAGCCAAGGCTGGGAGATGGGAACATTAAAGGGAAGTGTGGTGTTGTGATGTTGGAGTTGAAACACTTGTTCCTGGCATGACCTGTAGCAGAGGGAAGGCCTGGAGTGCCGCCATGAGAAACAGGGATTTGGTTTTACTGGCCACCTAAGGCGTGTTACTGCTAACCAGAAAGTTGGTGGTTCAAAGCCACCCGCCACTCCGCGGAAGCAAGACTGGGCAATCTACTTCTGTAAAGATTTACTGTCTTGGAAACCCAATGGGGGTAGCTGCGAGTCAGGATCCACTCGATGGCAGTGGGTTTGGGTTTTTTTTTTTGGTTTTAGGAAGTTTTGGAACAGCCTCCAGGCCTTCTGTGAGCTGAGGACAGTGACTAAGGTATCAGGGTGGATCCCAGCCATATCAGGGGCCTGGGGGTTAGCCTCTGGTGGACCGGACCATGCAAGCAGCTCATTTGCATTTGAACAATGTGAGCTGGAATAAGGCAGCTTTGCTGAGACTATGAAGGAGGCTTGGTGGTGCAGTGTTTAAGCACTCTGCTGTTAACCAAATGGTCTTCTGTTTGATCACCCAACCTCTCCAAGGGAGAATATGTCAGTCTTCTGTAAAGGTTACAGGCTTGGAAACCTTCTGGGGTCGTTCTGCTCTGTCCTGTAGTGCTATAGAGTCACTATGAATCAGAATCAACTTGATGGCAACAGAGGGTTTTTTTTTTTTTTTTTTTTTTCCTCTGAGGCTATGGCCTGCAAGTCTTAGTGTTTCCTTGGGAGGAGACTTGTGAGCTCTGGTGGAGTAGTGTTCAAGGCATTTGGCTGCTAACCAAAAGGTCAGTGGTTTGAATTCCCCAGCTGCTCTGTGGGAGAAAGATGAGGCAGTCTGATTTACAGCCTTGGAAACCCAATGGAGGTAACTATGAGTCGGAATTGATTTGATGGCAGTGAGTTTTTGGTTTTGCAGGCTCAGCAGCCCAGCCCTGAGCATTTGGGTCCCATTGCACAGATGGAGACACTGAGGTCTACATAGAATGTAGGACTTGCCAGGAGTCCTTTGGTGGACCCCTGCATTTGAATCTCTAGACTCCCAGAGACTAGGTGTGATGGGCTGGGCTTCCTTTTCCTGTCTTGGAGTGCTTTCCGTGCCTGGGGAAGGGTGTATGTGAGGGACTCCAGTCAAACTTCTGAAGACCCACAACTTTTAGAGCCTTTGCCAACTTTCTTGTTGGAGAAGCTGCTTCCTGAGTTGTTTCTCTGGCAACAGACAGTTCCACTGGGTCAGAGACGGGGGGTTCACCCAAGAAGCACCATCCATCTGCTAGGAAGCCATAAAAGAAACAATAGCTCCTATCAGCACACACTGGCTCCAGGCCTTTTGCCAAGTGCTGTATTTTGCCCCCATTTTGCAGGTGAGAAAACAGGCTCAGGCTACTTACCTGCTCAAGGTCTCACACCCCAGAGGTGGTTAAGCTCTTCTCCAGGAGCTCTGGCTCAGTTTAGGAGATGTCCCCAAGGATGCACTTGTGCTGGAGGGATCAGGGAAGGGTGCTTGGAGGAGACAATGGAAGATGGAAACAAATTCCCCACCACACCCCTTTGTTTTTCAGGATGTGGTGAAGTATTCAAAGTAGGGCATGAGGAAGGGGGAGGGTAAGAAGGTCCCAGCTCCTTGAGGAGACATACTTTTTGTATAGCATAGAACGTGTCCTCTAAGGAACTCTAGTGGCATTTGACTGCTAACCAGAAGGTTGGCTGTTCAAACCCACCAGCCCCTCCATGGAAGGAAGATGGAGGACTCAACTTCCATGAAGATTTACCGCCTTAGAATCCCAAGAGGGGTCACTATAAGTTGCAACTGACTTGAGGGCAGCGAATTTGGTTTTAGTTAGAGAGTGTATCCTGAAGAACAACTCAGAGTTCCTCACAGATACCGAGCGGTGTTCACTGATTCATCACTGCCTCTATCTAGTTCCAGAAAGAATATTCAAGGGAATATGATATTAAGCCACATAAGACAGAAAAGTTAAAGTAATACAATTTTTTCCCTCTATTTTACTTATTTGCAGTGTTTCTTCCCCTTCCCTCCCACTCCTGGTAAAAGTAATAAATTTTAGGAAGTTGATTATGGGGAGTAGGGCATCGACTTAAAGAGAAGGATAAAGAGACCATTGTACCAGGAACCTGTAGCAAATTTAAAGCTGTTGTCTTTGTTGAGTTTCCTAGCAGCCTAGGCAAAAAGAGAAATGTGCTGGGTTTACGCAGATACCCTGTTAAGGAGATAGGCAAGTTGTAGATTTCTGGGCCACACATCCTGAGATTCTCTTTTGGTCTTAGCAACCTGGAGGGTTTATGCTACAGATCTTTGTGGGGGTGGGAGGTGATGGAATGTTGTGGAATGTGGTTAATCTTGTGCTTATAGCAGATCCCACACCTGCTGAGATAAGTAGTTAATAAGTGCTATTAGGAGCTCTGGTAGCATAGTGCCTCAGGCACTTGATTGCTAACCAGAAAGCTGGCGGTTCAAACCCACCAAACCCACCGGCCACTCTTTGGAAGGAAGGTTGGGCAATCTACTTCCGTAGTGATACTGCCTCAGAAACCCACGCTATGAGTCATGGCCAACTTGACGGCACATAACAACAACAACACTGAGTGCCCACCTCTTTGTTGTTTTTCCAATCGTTCCCAAGTTCTGTGGAGAAGGTTGATCTTACCAGGGTTTAAAATGAGGAAAGAGACTCAGAGAGGGTAAAGGAGCTTGTGGGTGTCTCATGGATAGAGCCAGGACCTGCCCTGAGATCTGACAGTCCAAACTCTGCCTCTAGCTATTTCTGTTTCAGGAGGAGGTGGTCCCAGTGAGCTTTGGGTAGAAGAGACTTCAGAAAGGGAGACCTCAACTGGGGCCAGGATAATTCCGAAACCAAAACCCATTACCAACAAGTTGATTCCAATTCATAGTGACCCTCTAGGACAGAGTAGAAATGTCTTATATGGTTACCAAGGCTGTGATTTTTATGGAAGCAGACCCACTAGTAGAGCTGGAGTGGCTGGTGGGTTCAAACTGCTGACCTTTTGGTTAGCAGCAGAACGCTTAGCCAC